ATTTACGTTTTTTAAAAAAATTTTTCCCAAAAATTTTTGGGGCCCTTCTTAGAAGAACAATCTGGATTTTTATGTCCCTTAACACCAAACAAATGACAAACGGGAATAAAAGAGCCTTTTTTACTTTCCACTAAAAGGGCTTTGTTTTTTAAGGTCTGATAAACCCCCCCTTTCCCTTGGGGTTTTCGACCCCTTTGGGGCCCTTTAAAAGGGAAATTTGTGGGGGCCTCAGAAAGGGTCAGCAGCCTAGCAATTTCCTCGCTTCAATCGGGTTTTGTTCTCTAATGAATGTTCGACTGGGAGTAAGAGCTTTCGGGAACTGGTCGAAACCATGAATTTCCCGAAGAGATTCATAACTGTGAATCAATTCCTGAACTCTTACCCCAAAAGTCGAAAAAACGAAAGATTTTTAAATTTGAAAACTGTTAAAAAGTTCGGGGCCAGGCTGTAAGGTGGCATACTAAAATTTTTTCCCGTAAAAATTTTAGGGGTTTTTTTTGATATGTTTTAAGGTTTTGCCTTTTTCATAGGTTAAAAATTTACAAATGATATCCTGCGACCAATTTTGCATAATATTAAAAGCTAAAACAAAAAAAATAACATTCCTAACCTGGTAGCCCAGGTGTCGCGGGCCCAATTCAAAAGGGGGTTGCGGTATTTTAAAAACCCTGATATGTTTGAAGTTATGCTTCCCCCCTGTGAAGGGAGGTAAAATTAAAGGTTTTGGGGAAAAAGTGACTAGCTGCACGTTTTTCCCTTTAAACCCTTTCCCTCGTTTTTGCTGGTTTTTGAGAAATTTAACTTCTTATTCCAAAATAAAGGCAAATTTTTGTTCGAGCTTGCGCCCTTTTCTCTCCCCCTTAACTCATATTCTTGCCCTTTCCCTTTTTCCCCTCAAGTTTCCCTTTTTTTAACCTTTTTCCTCAATATCTTGTTCCTCAGTACTCTAGCTTTTCCCCTCACGATCAAGTCTATCCGCTCCTTTTTGTTTCTCTCTCTTTTTTGTTTTCTTGGATTTCTCTCCCCAATTTTCTCTCCCCTCCTTTTTCTCTTCTTTTTTCGATTCTTTTTTTCTCCTTTTTTTTTTCTCTTTCCCTTTCTGTTTTTTCTTTCTCTCTCTCCCCCTTTTTTTTCTTTTTTCCCTTTCTTTTCTTTCTTCTCTAAAAATTCTTCTCTTTAAAGTTTTTCCCTGGTTTTAGCACAAATGAAAAAATTTCTTTTTTTTTCCCCCTTTATTCCAACTTACTTCCAGCATTCACCCAAAACTGGTTTTCCCATCCATACTTGAAAAAATTTATCTTAAACTTCGGGGGAAAGGAAACGGGTTTTTAAAAAAAAGGGGGGTTAAATTTTCCTGCCCACTCAAACTGAAAAAAAACCCAAGGGGGGGTTCGACCCCCTGCTTCAATTAAAAAATTATTCCAAATTTAAAAACAAAGGGTTCTTGCCGGCCCCGAGAAAAACAGTAAGTAAAAATGGGGTAAATTGCCCATCCAATCTTCTCCCAAAAAATTTAAGAGTCCCCAAAAGACTTTCCCTTGATATAATAAAGAGTAAATGAAAAAAATTGTCACGGGAAAATCTGGGGTCCCTGGCCTAATCTCCAAATTTTTTCAAGTTTAACAAGAAGGTGGCAAAATTTAAACTATTATATCCTGTCTGACTTGACTTATTTTTAAATTGAAAACTATAACAATCACCAAATCTTTTAAATACCTGTACCGTTTTCCTCCCCTAGAGAATGATTACCATGCTGGTGGTAAAATCTGTGGTATTTTGGGGGTTTTAAAATTCCAATGGTAGATTCCCGGGTGGAGTTTAATCCCTTTATTCAGTAGAGTTGGGTCCCGGCAAGGGGCCCCCACTTGTGAAGGCTTTTCTCAGCTCTGAAAACTTTTAGACATTTACCAAAGCTGGCTCCTCCTCAGGAAAATTAAAGAAAAAGGGTAAAAGGAAAAAATTTTCCAAAATTAAAATTTAATTTTTTTAATTTTTGCAAACATAAAACAATAAAACATGACCCCGGTAAAATCCTATTTGAAAGAAAAGAAAATTTAAAAAAGAATAAAATAAAATTTGAACTCAAAACCTTAAAAAAATATATTGGGGGGGTCTGGTGTTGGTGGGGGGGCATTCGTGTTGTTGAAATCTTTGGGCCCTTTTTGAAAGTGTGTGGGGGGGGGGGGGGGGGGGGTGTAGGTGTTGGGGACCACCCCCGGCTAGTTTTTTCCAGAGAAACGCCATGAAAAATTTTTAAACCCGTGAAAAGGAAAACAGGTTTTTTTACCGCTGCAATTATTGGGGTTTTTCTGCAATTCATACAGGTTTCACCCGGAATTAAATCCCAAAATGGGACGTCTCCAGGCGTTAGTCCCCTCTTCCCCTCCGTTCCCTCTTGATTTACAGGGGGACCCCTGTCATCCAAGCTGAAAAAAATAGACAGGTTTTCCCCCTCTTAAATAATCACTTCCCCGATTTAAGGGACAATAACCTTTAAAAAACGGAAAGATTTAAAGACAGTTTAACTTAAAGCAAGGGTGGGAAAAAAAGAAGGAAATGAATTTAAAATAAAAATTTGGGGGGGGGCCGCCATTTTGAAGGTGTTGGGGTTGGGCCCAGGAAGGGCCAAAAACGGCACCGGGGGGGGGAAAAAAAAGGGAAGGTGGGGGCAATGTGTTCGCAGGCCGCCAAACACAACATACTTTTGGGGGGAAAGGGAAAAAAACGGGAAAAGGGTGACCCCCAAAACCCTTACCTTTTTAAAGAGTGGAAGCCCCCAAAATACCTTTCGGGGGGGGGGGGAAAAAGGGGGGAAAGGGGTGGGGTTTTTCTACCCCCCCTTAACAAGGCCGGGAATAAACTTTTTAAATTTAGGGGTTTGGGGAAAAAGGGGGAATGGGTAAGCCTTGGGCTTAAAAACCCTTTTCCTTTTAAAAAGTATTTTGGGAAAAAACTATGCTTTCGGGGAAAAGGGGGGAAAAAAGGCGGGGAAAACCCCGGGAAGCTTTACTTACCCATTCAGAGGGGCAATGAAAAATTGGGGTTTCCAATATTCCCCCCTTATTTTTTATTTTTTGGGAAACAATTTCCCCCCAACCTTTTGTGGGTGGAATTTTATTTTACCGGGGCAAAGAAAACGGGGGTTTAAACCCCCAGGGTTTCCCACTGGTTTAGTTCAAAAATGGAAAAGCAGAAGGGGTTAACGGAAAAAAGGGGCCACAGGAAAGTACCTCTAGGGGGAAAACACAAATATCAAGGGTTTGGGCGATTTCAAGGGGCACCCGGGGACATAGGGTTAACCGAAACATTCCCTAGGCCAAATTTTGGTTTTTTTATCTTACGGGGCCCCCTTTTTAAAAATTTGCGGTGAAAGAAGCGGTTACCCACCCCTAAATATATTCCAAAGACAATACTAAAAGACATGATTATACGCAGTTAACTTAGAGCAAGGCTGAAAAGACTATTTAGAGCCCAAGTGAACTTTCACCTAAATTTAGAACAAAGGCACCCCCCAACGTACTTTACAGGGGTGGGTGGGAAAGGGTGTGAGCTAGTGACTACGTTTGACAAGAGCCCCAAAAAACTCACTTTGGGGGGGGGGGGAAAGAGGAGGGAATAGGGGGAGCTAGACTGACCCTACGTTAACAAGCAGCCGGCAATCAAACTATCACTTTAGGGGTGGGGGAGAAAAGGTGGGAATACTGGGAGCTGGACTTACCCTACCTTAACAAGTAGCCGGCAATGAAACTATTGTTACTATATATTCCCTCGCTACTCCTATCTATTGAACTTTTCCCTCACAGGGGGTGGGTAGATTGCATTTTCTTGGACATTAAGAAGACGTTTAACACAGTTCCTCACATGAGATTAGTGCAAAAACTGGATGACTAAGCAGAGATAACAGTGAAGGCACTACAGTGAATCAGGGAATACCTCTCAGGAAGACAGCAGTGAGTCATGGTACGCGGCGAGGTGTCAGAGTGGGCACCTGTGACGAGTGGGGTTACACAGAGGTCAGTCCTAGGACCAGTGCTGTTTCTGATATTTGTGAACGACATGACGGAGGAATAGACTCCGAAGTGTCCCTGTTTGCAGATGATGTGAATTTGATGAAAATTAAATCGGACGAGGACCAGGAAGAACTACAAGGGGATCAGGACAAGCTGCAGGCCTGGTCCAGCAACTGGCTCCTGGAGTTCAACCCCACCAAGTGCAAAGTCATGAAGACTGTGGAACGGCAAAGAAGGCCGCAGACGGAGTACAGTCTAGGGGGACAGACTACAAACCTCACTCAAGGAAAAAGATCTTTGGGCGAGTATAACACCAGGAACATCTGAGTCGCACATCAGCCAAATAACTCCTGAAACATATGGGCGCCTAGCAAATATAAGAACAGCATACCGCCATCTTAATAAGGAATCGTTCAGGACCCTGTACACTGTGTAAGGCCCATATTGGAGTATGTGGCCCCAGTTTGGAACCCACATCTAGCCAAGCACGTGAAGAAACTAGAGAAAGTGCAAAGGTTTTCAACAAGACTATTCCCAGAGCTAAGGGGTATGTCCTACGAGGAGAGGGAAATCGAGCTGACGATAGTGGAAGACAGTAGAGATAGGGGGGACATGATAACGACGTGTAAAATACTGAGAGGAATTGACAAGGTGGACAGAGACAAAATGTTCCAGAGATGGGACACAACAACAAGGGGACACAATTGGAAATTGAAGAGACAGATAAATTACATAGATGTTAGGAAGTGTTTCTTCAGTCACAGAGTAGTCAGGAAGTAGAATAGTTTGGGAAGCAATGTAGTGGAGGCAGGATCCATACATAGCTTAAAGCAGAGGTATGATAAAGTTCTTGGTGCAGGGAGTGTGACCCAGTAGAGGCCAATGAAGAGGTGAGGCCAGGAGCTATGAATCGACCCTTGCAACCAAAACTAGGTGAATACAAGTAGGTGAGTACGCACACACACACAAGAAAAAAGAGTATAAGTTTATATGTACTTTCTGGAGGCCCGTGTTGATGAGGAGCTGCAGTCTATCTTCGGTGACTCAGAGCGTCCAGTGACCATGGATGACCTGCGTGAGATGAAGTACACAGAAAACTGCATCAAAGAGGCTCTCAGACTCTTCCCTTCTGTGCCTTTCCTGGCCAGAGACCTCAAAGAGGAGGTTGTCATTGGTAGGAATCAAATTATTTTTGTTACTATGTAGGGGAAATGCTAAACCCGTAAGGGTCGATTAACATATGAAAAATAAATATGAGGGATGGGGTAATGAGGCTTGATGTGAGGATGGGGAGAGGCAGCTCCATTTCCTTTAATCAAAAAATCTTTTTCACCTCATCAAAGCTTGGAACAAAGAGAAAACTCACTTTTTTTTTTTTTTTTTAGAAATTTTAAGTAACTCTTTAATAATCAGAATTTTGCTCATTTGGCTGCTTAGAAGATTTTGTGTCTGTTACGACTGAAGTGTTGCATGATCCATACAGGTTTAGCGCTTGTTTTCCAACATGAAAATATTGCTATTATATAATTTCTTATTTTAGATTTTCACTAAAAAAGTAATTTGATTATTTTTTTGTATTCTATGAAATATATTAACATTAAATTATATAAACACCTTTACATTACAAATACAACACGCATTAACTACTGAATATTATGCAGATAATTATCGCATCCCAGCTGGCACCACTGTGATGGTGGTGACTTACTGTCTTCACCGTGACCCAGCACAGTTTCCCAACCCGGAAGTCTTTGACCCAGATCGCTTTTTACTGGAGAATGTCAGCCAGCGACACCCCTACGCTTACATTCCTTTCAGCGCTGGACCCAGGAACTGTATCGGTGAGTCCATCACAGGTTCTGTCTCAGACATATAATCAAGCACGAAAATACAATACAATGATGTACATTAATGTTATTATACACCTACAAGCATGTTGATAAGACACATGTAGTTTATGACATTTTGTTGAGAAGTTTCGGCCATCAGGGATTTTATGAACTAAAAAATACTCTGCGGAACTAAATGTTTCAATAAAATGCCATAAATCTTATATTGTGACTTATTAACATGATGTTAACTTTATGATTCTTAGTTATAGTGGGGCTGAGAGGAGCTGAAATTGCACATTAACCTTGGCCAGTAAATTCAGCAGTGTGACTTTATTCTTTTCTTCAGATTTATTTAAAATCTGGGAGAATAAATTGCCCATTGCATATAATTCGTGGAAAAGTACTACCAAATATAAGCTAAATGACTGACAGCTTTAGCTTTCTGTTATGTTTGTAACAATTTCATGATTAATTATAAGACACACATGCAACATCGGGTATCTTTATTGTAGCGTTTCGCCATCCAGTGGCTTTATCAATACAAATTGAGGGACTGATTACTCATCTCTGTACAAGGTTTCTACTGTCTCAGTTTGTCCTAGAATTGTATTGATAAATGCCACTGTATGGTTCAAACTCTACAATAAATGATACTCCAATGTTGCCCATGTGTCCTTACTCTATACCTGTCGTATTATATACCATTCGACACATTCATGATTAATTATTTTCTTGAAAGATATTTCATAGTGTGTCCTTGATTTAACCGTGACATGGGCCTAGTTATTCTGGATGGTCGCCACCCTATGAGGGCTTACTTCTGTGAAGGGCTTTTGATCATTGAAATTGAAGTTATACTTTGTTTCTTTATATCAAACCATAACTGCCTTCCATCCCATTCCTCAGCTACTATAGACCCTTCATATGTTTAAGCTTCCGCCTTCAATATAATAAAATGTTGCATAGGGTGGATCCTACTGTAGGTGAACAATAGAAGAATGCAAAAACTTAGGTCCAGTCAGGGTTTATTGTGTAAGCCAGCCATGAAAAGGTGTTTGGCTCTCTGTCGAAATTCTCGATCCACTGTGAATCATGAACACGTGTGATAAATTTCATATAACCTCCTACCTTTGAAATCTTCATGTAATAACTTTATGCTCTATGATAAGAGCACTATAAGGAGTTAAAGGACCTTATTAATAACGTTTAGCACCATTCATGAAGTAGTTCGTGAGGATCAGGTCAGAGCTATGGTGAAGCTTGGGAGTCACGTTATGGTTGTGTCTGGAGGTGAGTGTGGTAAATATTGATCCAGAATCATGTGGGACAGTGTGATAATGATTTTATAACTTCCATATATTTATGAATATTCTTACATTTTTTCTAGGTCAGAAGTTTGCACTTATGGAGGAGAAGATCCTGCTGAGCAACATCCTGCGTAAGTTCCGTGTAGAAAGCGTCACCCGCCGAGAGGACTTACGCATTCTCGGAGAGCTCATTCTCAGGCCTGAAAATGGTAACACTTTGAAACTTACTCCCAGAGCATAAGTGTCGAGAAGGTACTTTAGACGACTTAAATAGTTTGTAAAGAATTTTGTATTTTAAAGGAATGCTTATGCAATAAAAATAAATATAGTTATAAGAACATGGAAAAGGAGGAACACTACAGCAGGCCCGTTGACCCATACTGGGCACGTCCTTCACAAATCCATCACACTAACAGAATATTCCTACACATTTTCAATGCTACCCAGGCAATAAGCTCTGATAAATTTATTTACTCATATGCAAGTCCTACTCAAATCCAACCCCTCTCACTCGTATATTTGTCCAACCTAAATTTGAAAATACACAACTAGGCAGACCGTTCCACTCATCACCTACCCCATTTCCAAACCAATACTTTCTTATATTTTTTCTGAATCTAAACTTACCTAATTTGAATCTATTATTGCGGGTTCTCTATTGGAAAAATATCCTCAAAACCTTATTTACATCCCGTTTGTTAAAACTCATCTTCTACATATACACTTCAATCGTGTCTCCCCTCATTCTTCGTTTTACAAGTGAATGTAATTTAAGGGACTTCAATCTTTCCTCATACAGAAGATTTCTAATGCTATGTATTAATTTTGTCATTCTTACCTTTTTCTAACAAATTTATGTCCATTCTGTAATACGGAGACCGGAACTGAGCTGAGTAATCTAGGTGAGGCCTTACTAATGATGTATAAAGCTGTAGTATAACCGCTGGAACTCTGTTGCTTGCACTTCTTGATATAAATCCCAGTAATCTGTTCGCTTAGGCATTGCTGTCTTGGTTTAAGGTTGCGTCTTACCATAACCTCCTCAAGTCCTTTTCGCATTCTCTATGGCTAAGTTCTTCATTATGTAGCTTATAAATTTTAGGGTTATGAACATTCCCAAGCCTCAAAACCTTGCATTTATCTACATAGAACTGCATCTGCCACTATTCTGAACACTAAGTTTGTCTAAATCCTCCTGAAGTTCCGTGACATCTACATCTGAATCTTTTATCCTACCATCGAGTCATCAGCGAATTTGCTAATATCATTAGGAATTCTCTCGTCAAGGTTATTGATATATATTATAAGCAACATTGGACCTAAAATTGATCCCTGTGGAACGCCACTTGTTACAGATCCCGCTCCGATTTTTCTCCATTTATATACACACGCTACTTCCTGTTGGTGAGGCATGTCTATCCATGACAGCACTTCTTCCCCCATTGCCGTGAGCTGCCACTTTCTTTATCAGTCTCTAGTGCGGTACTCTTTCAAAGGCCTTACTAAAATCCAAATAAACAATCAAATTCTTTATCGTGATCAACAGCCTCAAAAGCTTTACTGAAAAAAGTTAGTAAATTAGTTAGTTAGGCAGGAACGGCCATTCGTGAATCCATGCTGAGTATCATTAACCCAGTTATGCTTATCAAGATGATTTCTTATATCAGGTGTAACTGACTAGTAATTTACCAAGAATTAAGGTCAGGCATATTGGCCGGTACTATAACGGTAACGACTTGTCCCGTGATTTAAAAGTAAGAATTACATTGGCTATCTTCCACATATCAGAAACTACACATGTTCTAAGAGATATGTTATAAATGTTTGTCAATGGTTCACACAGTTCCAATTTGCACTCCATAAGAACCCTTGAAAAAAATTATGTCAGGCCGGATTGGGAATTTTATGGAAGTTTTTTTCAGTTCGGTCTACTTATTCATTACAAATCCCAGGTAAGGAGAGGGGATATAAGTTAATCAGTCCTACTGTAGTCGATGTCACCTTCTGAGTGATAACCAGTATCTTCTTAGCTTCCTTTTTTTACTGTGACCCTGTGTGGGAAACGTTCTGAATAAAGAATCAAATATAAATAAGTCCAGACTTCACTTATTTTACTTCAAACCACTATACCAGTAAAACCTTGGAATAATTTATTCAGCGGGGATTATTGATTTTATTCGTCCTACTTTTTTACCTATCCTAAACTGGATTATATATTTATTCTCAGTTCTTAAAAGTTATTATTTGGATATGATAATTCTCCTTGTTAAATTCGAAAATTTTAAGAAATCGTTACTTTTATTCTCCCTGTCATAATCCCGTTTTTAACTCGACCTTATGTAATATATTGATTCGTTAAGTAGACCCGGAAACCATTCTGTTTTGATCGTCTATAATTACTTATTTCCCCTAAAGTCGTTTACCTTTTTATTCATCCTTTTACGTCCTCTTCTGCTGATATAATTTTCTAACGAAAAAACTTCTTTTGGAGCATATAATTACTTATTAGATGCCTAAAAGAGCTTTAACAATTTTTCAATCCATTTCGAGTCATTTCTGCTCGATCTAATTTCTTTATACGGAATAAATTTTCTTTGGGCAGCATATATATAGAGTTTAGAATGCTGTCATACTGAGAGCGCTCTCTACTAAGCGAAAATCTGGGACCACTACTGAGTTATCCCTACTATCATACTTTCATTCAATGCTGAAGGTAATTGATCTGTGGTCGCTTGCAGCAAGTTCCTCTGTAATTTCTATATTATTAACAAGGGTTTCCTGGTTTGCCACAAAGTCAAATAGGTTATTTCCCTTTGTAGGTTCTGAAAGATACTGCTTTAAAAAACAATCCTGAACTATAAGAAGTCGTTAGATTTTAAATTCCGTCAAGAAATTCCAATCAATCTGACTAAAGTTGAAGTCCCATAGAATTACTATGTTATCGTTCCTTGTGATCCTAACAATTTCCTCCCACAGTAGTCTTCCTTGGTCTCTATCCAAGTATGGGTGGCGGTATATCACGCCTAAAATCAATTTCTTGTGCCCCTCTGAAAATTCTACCCAGACAGACTCAGTATGTGTTATTTCAGACTTTATTCCCGTTTATATGCAACAATTCAAGTGAACTCGGACATAGAAACATAAGGAATGGGGGTGGAGTGGCACACTATCTACGTGAAACAATTTAAAACCCTGAATGTGACATTCGACAGATATATCTCGATTTTTTATTTTAAACCATGTCTCAGGTATTGCAAATACCTCAGTGTTTCGCCGGGTCGCCATCTGGAGAAGACCCGGGCCGGAAGTACCGGCGAACCAACTCGAACTCGATCCTCAGTGTTACCCGCACTTGCAACTAATCTCAACTCGTCCATCTTATTTCTACCAGTACGACTATTTAGTATATTAGTATAATATAAATTCAGAAAACCTCTCCTCTCTTTTCTCTTCTTGCTCATTTCTGTTCTTCCATTATCCCTGTTAGTGTTTTTGTCACTTATTGTCACTGGCTCTTTAATATTCACCACAAACTTTACCGCATTCTGCCTATAACTGGTTTCCCTAAAACTCGCACTATAGCTACACTGATACCTCACTGCTTTCCCACCAAAACCCATACCACTAACTATGCTTAGTTTAAAAATCTAACAGCTCCATCCACTGCAATGACCAGTGCCCCCACCCCGGAAACCGATAAGTGAACCCCATCTTGGCACACGTCATTTCATGGACAATTGGAGGTCCCAATTGTCCATGAATGTCGCTGCATTTTCCTTACAATGTTTGTTCAGCCAGCACTTGACATCAACTGCTCTGGAGAGCCATTCATTTCCAATTCTTCTCCTTGGCAAAATGCCACATGTCACAGGTCTCCCACCCTTCCAACACAAATCCTATCCCTGCGAGCTCCATTGGAGAGGGAAAGTTTTACCTCCCCATTCACCGTCTTCCATGCTCGTCCACGATGCATTTCTCAAATCGTGTGAAGATCAAACCAAGAAGTGGGACAGTAAATGACTCGTCCAAATTGGCACTTGCATCTATCATTCGCAGCAGGTTGCTGGTCAAATTCAATGCGATTCTCAAATCAGCTTTCATTTTCGTCTGGACTGACGACATTGAAGCTGAAAAGTTAATCATTCCCCAGCTTTATGGGCCAAAAACGGCGTTCCTCCAACGGCTGAACTAACTTATCACAATCCAGCTTATAGAAGAAATCAAGACATCAATAGAAGACCAGAACCCTTGGGCCTCTGTGGACCACATCACCAAAATACCCAATGCATCTTCAGTGCTAAAGGTCAACTTCACTGATGTCAACAAGGCTGCCCAAGCTCTCGCCGAGGGCAAGGCAATCTATTACTTCCACATCAACCCAAAATAATCTGAGGCAGAGAGATTCCACCTCATCATGCAATGTTACTGCTGCTACTCTTACTCTCATTCCACTCAGGATTGTCCTCTCTAGGATAAAAAAAATTCTGTCTGACCTGCGGCAATGAATGACATGACTTCAAGGCTTGTTCCACCACCGCTCCACCAAAATGCGTAAACTGCAAGAATGAACATTACTCTCCCACTGCGGAATGCCCAATAAGAAGAGAAATACTCAAGAAAAACATAAAACAAGAAAAGAAAACACCTGCAGTATCTACAACATATGCTGCAATCGCAAAACTGCAAGCAGACACCACCAAAATATTTAAGGCCATTTAGACTTCATCCTCCACCAGCAACACATTACCTCCAATACTTGCCGATGAATCTACAAGAATCCTCTACAGTATATATGCCCACATGCACAATATGGCCATACCTGGTTCTTTCAACACCACCACCATCAATGAACTCTTCCGACTAAACATGCCATGTTTACATTCCCAGTCTCCACCTTCTTCAGACATAATCAAGACCACCATAAATATCGTCAACGTCTAATTACTTACAAGTCTCTCTCAAGCAGCAGCTCCACCACCATCTCTTACTGGTGACGAGCCGCCTCAGAATCATACCAATGAGATGCTTCCACTGGCTTCCTCACCAAGAAAACGAACTAATCAGAGACCTCAACCCCGGCCCCCTCCTCCGCTGCAAACACCACCAGTGACAGCACATCAATGACTGCCACAGGCACTGCTACTCCCCAACCACCAGCACATCTAGAAGACAACTCGGAAAGAGCAAAAAACCCGTCCACATCCGCCATATAAGTACACCAAATGGAATGGCGTAAGTTCTACACACAGACCAATACAGTGAAGCTATGCATTGCAAAGAATTTCACACTCGACTCCGTGAGGGAAATGTCAAGTTCACTGGCGAGCATGAATATCTAGGCAGCACCGAAGAAATGTTCGAGGACATCGCAGAGTCTCTTGACGATGAATGTCTCCGATGTTGGTGCAGTCAATTACTATGAAGAACGAAATTTAAGAATATCAAGAATGCTACCGCCCACTAGCAAGCTTCCTTCCACCAGTCACCATGAAGCTAAGTTCTCTAGCACTCTGGCATGGCCTAAAGCTGGGGTGTGGCTCCATCAGACCTTGTAATGCTCGCTTTCTCGGCCCTTCCTGACACTGCCTGCTGCTGTGCAGCTTCATCAGCCGCCCTCGCATCGCCAACTACTGTGCAGCTGGCAAACCCCTTCAAGACACTCCCGTGACTGGGAGGCAAGGCCGAGTCACCACCTGGAAAAGGCCCAGGCCGGCAAATGTACCAGCGAATCTACAACAATCCCACCCTACATCCTAATCTCTGTTGCTCTCCTATACCTGCTAATCAGGTCCTCATTCTTACGTCTGCCAACATCGTTGCCTCTAGAACTGAGACAAATAATAGGATTGCTCCCATTACCTCTCATGATGTCGTCTAGACGGCTAACAATATCCTTTATCCCAGCTCCTGAAAAACACATTCTCTTCCTACTTGTAAGACAAAAGGCCCTATCTATAAACTTGACCTGACTGTTCCCAACTAAAACGATGTTCTTACCTTAGCTGGCGGTGTGCAAAACGTTCTCGACGGTCTTTGTAGAGATGGCCTTTGCTGGGATGCTCTCACTAGCATACTTCGCTGATTCGTTAACAGTGTTGCTTGCTGGAAGTCTTCAGACAATCGTCTGCAAACAATGAAATGGGGTTGCTGGTTTTCACAGATGTCTTCTGGACCTTCTTCAGCTACAGCTTCGTCTCTTCAGTTCCAACTAACATCCATTCATTGGTCCGATCATCAGCGACATTGTTCCAAGGATAATCCTTGCACATACCCTTCAGTCGTTGAGTTTATCTTCTTGCTTCCGTTATTTTTTGCCTTAAGCTGAAGATATGGCTGCTCGTAGTCGAGGGAAGCCATCATCACAATCTCAATAGCTAAGAACGGAGTGCACACCTGACAAGTCTTCACAAAGCAAAGTGCAGGTCACCAATGAGCAAGGTACAGGTCAACACTGAGAAAGGTACAGGTTACCACTGAGCAAGGTACAGGTTACCACTGAGCAAGGTACAGGTTACCACTGAGCAAGGTACAGGTTACCACTGAGCAAGGTACAGGTCACCACTGACAAGTACAGGTCAGAGAGAACAATAACGTTGGAGCAAACATCAGCTCCTCTCATTTTCTTGGTACAATAGAACTATTATGGCACTGTAGCGTTGAGATCCTGCATAGTACAGTTAGGACATTTATTAGAGAACACTGTTTCTCCACGAGTCGCGAAACGTTTCCTCCAATAAATATCCTGAACAGCACATGTCTTTTTTCCACATCTTGCCGGTATCACTACATTATTTCTCAGTTTAAGAGATAGTATAGACCAGGTGTCAAGATGAATAAATTCCTTTATAGTTACAGTAGTCCTCATTTGAAAATCTTGAAATGT